AGCAACCAGTTCATGCGCCATTAAGATATTATCAGTAATTTGGCGCCCAGGGATGAAAGCAGATTGAGCCTTGCTAACAAGAATATCCAGCGAACCTTTCATCCTATCAGCAATAACCTTACTAATACACTTCAACAACACATTGCAACACGCAATTGGCCGATAATCAGTAACATAAGAAGCATTAGGAACCTTTGGCACAAGACACAGAAGAGTATGGTTCAGCTGATACTCCAATGTTCCAGAATAGAAAAAATTGTGAATCCCAGTGAGAACATCCCTACCAACCACATTCCAAGCTGCTTTAAAGAATTTAGAAGAATACCCATCAGGWCCTGGGGCCTTATCATTCCCAATGGCAAACAAAGCATCCTTGATCTCCATATCCGAAATAGGACGGATTAAGTGAAGAGAATCCGATAAAGATAAAGAATGATCAAACACACAATCCCCCATAGAGGGAGGGACCAAGACATTAGAGGTACCTAAAATACCTTGGAAATGGGAAAGGAACGCTGTGGCTACCTCCTGATGATCATAAATTGTACCAGAAGAATCCCTGATAGTAGCAATATGGCTCCGATTGCGCTTCTCTTTCATAGCATGAAAAAAGAATTTAGAGTTACCATCCCCTTYATTGAGCCAAGATATCTTCGCTTTTTGACGAGCCATTTCCACTTGATCATTTCTAGCTTTTTGATACGCTAGCAAGAGGTGAGCAATATCCTCCTTTAGCAAATCGTTAAAAGGGTCAAGATCACAAGCCAATTGGGCGACATCAAGCTCCGTCTTTAGCTAAACAACCCTTTTATCCAAACAACCATAAGAATTCCGGAGACGCCGACAAACCACCTTCAGAGCTTTCAATTTCTGAAGGACCCTCTTCATATAAGATCCTCTCTGCGGTTTCATCCACACCTCCTCCACAAAAGCAAGGAATTCGTTATGAGATGTCACAAAATTATCAAACTTAAAACCCCGCTGGCGAAGACGTCTACCAACTTTAAAAGAGAGAATACCCGGAGAGTGATCAGAAATCCCCCTCGGATCAAAGTAGACTGAAGCATCCCCAAATCTAGTGATAAACACAGAATTTCCCAAGATACGATCCAGTTTAMGCATAACACCATCACCCCCCGAAGGTTTCTGTATCCAAGTAAATTGGCATCCTTGATACGAAATGTCAAACAATTYCGCCTCTTCCAGACAGAGATGAAACTCTTCCATGTCAGAATTTCGCCTAGAGGAACCCCCTAATCCATCATGGGGAAAAGCATTGAATTAAAATCACCCATCGCGACCCAAGCTTTCCTTTGAGTAAACACATGGAATTCACCAAACGCCCGCCAAAGCTCAYGCCTATCCACACCCGTATTACACCCATAAACAAAGGTAATAAAAATAGGATCAAGTTGCCCAAAAAKYCTAATCTCACARTGGACATATTGTTGGTGCTGCTCAATCATAAGAACTGACAACACTGTCGGATCCCAAGCAATAATAATACGAGTTCCTTGATCACACAAGCTCCCATTCGATATCCAACTCCAATTTCCAAACACTTTACCACACACTTCCCCCATATGACTATGTAAAACTTTGGACTCAATGATACAACATAAAGACAGATGCTTTAAATACATAAGATCACGTACCTCCTTTTGCTTTATTAGGGAATTTAGACCCCTAATATTCCACGCAACAATTTTTATCATTGAGAAGGTGAAGAGGGTCTTGCCCCTTTACTATAATCCAAAGAATGCCCCTCAGTGTCTATTATTTCCATATCATCATCATCACTTGAATCATCAGAAGGAAGTTGGGAGAATCTATTACTAGTAGACGTAACAGAAACTGCACCACGTCTTGGTTTCATCGCTTGAAGCACTCCTTTAACAAGTTCTGGACCCCGCTTTGATCCAAATGTGACATTCGCTTCATCATCTCTTCGTCTTTGCGTTCTCCCTGCATCCACCGTACAAAATTGACTTTCATCATGTTCCCTACGTTCCCCAATAGATAGATCAGAATCAACCACCTGAACTGCTTCCTTATCCTTTTGAGTTACTCCCAATGTAGACGGTTCATCAGAAATCGGCTTTATAGTACCAACACCCACCAATGTTTCTTGAAAATTAGAAGGACCTCCTGACGAAGAGGCCTGAGCACCATTACTAGGACCTGAACTCTGTTTCGGTTTCCATTGTTTACGCTTTTTCTCTATAAACCCATCATTATACAGCGGCTTGACAATCTCCTTTTGTTTTAGAGTACCCCCTTTCTGACAGGAATTCGTATTATGGCCAAAAACTTTACATTTAGAACATTGAGACGGCACCCAGTCATATTCCAAAGCCACCTTTATAACATCTTCACCATCGCCCGACAGCCTAGGAATGACAACGTCAATTTGCTTCTGAATTGTACCTACGGCCCATACGTCCACCAAAACTTTCGCAAAATTAGTACGACCCCATGCTTTATCACAAGTACTAGCAGTACAGGCATCCAACCGCAAAGGGACTCCTACTACGCTAGCTATCCGGCTAATGCCCTCTCTATTAAACGCAACCAGAGGAATATTATAGAATTTAATCCATAACGGACAGGAGGTATGTTCAGGCTTTTTAAGTCCCTTTGAAGGGTCCCATATAGAGACAAAAAGAGGCCTCCCACGAATCATGAGTGGGGACGACTCAACCACTTGATTGCAACCACCATTATCATTGAATCGAAAAAAGAAGTACCCAAGGTCATTTACCATTGCATCCATAAGCCCAAATTTACCCCAGGCATTTTTAACCGCTTGCARAACAATTGGGAAAGGAAGACGAGGTCCCAAAAAGTATCCATAAAGAACCGACTGGAAAGATTTCGCCATATCCCTTGTAGTTTCCAAAGAAAATTCAATTCTCGGTTTCACACTTTTCTCGACCGGGTAGTACGTCAAATCATGATGAGAAGCACCACCAACAATTTCAGCAAATGTCTTTTGATGTGCTATACGACTCCCACCCAAAACCGCAGGTGATATGCGCTCCCATACCGAAACCCTTTTAGTGGGACCAGAATTGTCCTTACTCCCCTTCAACGTTACCTCCTTTTCACCTTCATGCACAAGATTCCCATGCATGTCACCAGAAACCGAATCTCCAAAAATGACCTCAGCAAAATCCGTACGAGAAGGATCCTCCAAGATTGCATCCGCAAAGTCTATCTATCATCATTACCACACGAGAAAACAAAAAACCTAGTCCCCCTATCCCTAGTCAAGAAGCCGCAGTGCTGAAACCCTTAAAGAGTGTTCTCAATAGAATAAACGAAGACCCCACAAGGAGGTGCTGAATATCCTATTCAGTAACTCTAGAAAGGCAACGAAGACCACGGAAACACTTGACACAGGAAATAAGAAAACTAGATAAGACCCACAACAGAGATTTGCAACGAAAAACGCCACAGAAGAACAAACTCCAAACTAAAGATCACCAAAGCAAACAAAACCACGAGGCCCCAAACCACGTACCACCAAGAAAAAGATGGCACAAGCCCAAGCAAACAAAACCTGACGCCAACAAAGAGATGAAGAGCCAATTAGAATCCTTATGGAAAGGTTTTCTCTCTAGGGTTTGCTTGATGATGAACGACGATTGAAGATGAAGATGTTGTTTTCGATTGATCTCTGGTGATGCTTACGCGTTTTCTTCTCTTCACTTTGGTTTTACTTGGCGCTGTTGCTTGGTTTGCAATCGGTTCTCCCTCTACGGCAGTTTTGATTCAAGATCTAGGGTTCTTCGGTTTTGGTCTTGGAGGCGGTTCTAGGGTTTCTTCTTGAGGTTGGTTTTTTCGGTTTACTTTAAGCGATCTCCTTTCGTGTTTGTTGTGGTTCGTTGTCTTCTTTGATTTGGGTAGGGCGTTCGAAACCTCTCTTCTTGGCCGTGTAGTGTTTACTCACGGCTAGGTATTTTGAGGATCTCTTTTCGATTTCTCCCTTTGCTTTCTCGTCGGTTTTAGCGTTTCTCTCTTTGAGGATCGTTTTGGAGTAGTGCTTCTTCTTTTTCGATTAGGAGGGTTGCGTATGGTTGTTGTGGCTAGGGTTTGGCCATCTTGCTTGTTGCCTTCGGTTACGTTTGCATGCTATTGGTTTGGGCGCCGTTTTTTTGCATGCTCTCCTACTCTTTCTAGGGTTTGAGTTGTTGTGATCTTTTTCGCCTTCTGCTTGTTTCCTTTTGGTTGTTGGTGTGAGTTTTGGGTTGCTTAAGCTTGGGTTACGGTTTTCGTGGCTAGGATTGGCCGCCTTGGGGGTTTTCCACGGCTAGGGTTTCCACGGCTAGGTTTTGAAGCCATGTAGTTTTTTGCTCTCAGGATAACACCTTCGATTAGCTGGGCAATTTCTAGACAGATGAGCTTCATCACACTTATAACATTTTCTTTGGTCTGTTTTACACTCACCCTGATTTATCCGGAGAATTGCCCGGTTTATTATCATATCTTATCATTTTTGCTCCTCGAAAAGATGAAGGCCCCTCCCATTTTCTCTTCTCTACAACCTTTCCTTCTGGCTGTCGGTTCTTATTTCGTTCAGTTACTTCGGCTGCATCTACCGTTAATGAAAAGGTGTTGGGGTTCATAGCAATGACAAATTCTCTAATTAAGGGTTTCAAACCCCAAATGTACCTTTCTATTTTCCTGGATTTGGCTGAAACATAATGTTCAACAAAGCGAGAGTATTCAATAAATCTTTCAGTATACTCCCAAACAGTTCCATTTCCTTGTTCCAACTTTAGAAAATCTTCTTCCATTTGTCTAACAGCAGTTGTAGGATAAAACTGATTCTTGAATCGTTCCACAAATTATGTCCAAGACAAAGTCTGTAAAACATCTGTTCTAGCCGATGACTCAACTTCCCACCAGAATAAAGCATAATACAGAATCAGCAAATCAAACTTTATCTGTTTCCGGACACCAAATGGTGTTGAACACAGATTCCATTTCTTTGATCCAACACATAGCTTTCACTGGATCTCTTTCCCCAGAAAATGTTGGTGGCTTACATGCCAAAAACATTTTAATATCTCCCTCCTTGTTGTGAGTAACCGGTACCGAGGGACGAACTTCTATTCTCTCTGTTTCGACTTTGGCTGGTATTCCCATGATAGAAGTCAGAGTTTCCCGCAACATACCCATTTCTTCAGCCAACATATCCCTGGTTATGTATTCAGGGTGTGGCACCGATCTCTCCTTAGCAATCCCAGAATAGGATTCTTCATGTTCAGAATGAACTTCGGTCCGGTCCCTTTGTAACACCCCAAATCCACATATTGCATATAACACATATTTCACATATAAAATACATGTTTTCCCCACATAGGTCCTCGATACAAGAGTCTGTAATTTAAAATACACAACCCAGAGAAGTAATTCACATAACACCCTTTCCCTTATAATCATTACCTGCACACATAATTTGAAAACACGAAAATGAGGGTTAGACATGAATGTCTAGTGAGGTTCCCTTCTATGGAATGCAGGGTGAAGATCACCAAAATATTTATTTCAAATCATTCATCTTATGAAGCAAAACTAAAAACATACTACTTCGGTTCATCGGTCTCTGGTTTCAAACAACAGTTAGAAAAATATTTCGACAACCAGGACCAGAGCCCCTCTGGTCTCTCTTCCAGAGCTTCTGGTCTTCACGACCAGAGCCTCTGGTTTCACTAACAAGACTTAGAATATAATTCAACATGCAGGACCAGAGCCCCTCTGGTCTCTCTTCCACAACTTCTGGTCTTCACGACTAGAGCCTCTGGTTTCAAATCATACTAAGAATATATTTTAACACAGGACCAGAGCCCCTCTGGTCTCTCTTCCAGAGCTTCTGGTCTTCATGACCAGAGCCTCTTGTTGAACCAACCAGACTTAGAAAATATTCCAAAACCTTTTCAAGACC